CAAACCTTAAATACTTTCTCAATAAAAATGCAGAATCAAATCAAGTGAATATATTTCTTTACGTATATTAAACTATTTACCACAATTATCATATTTCGAATTAAATCCATTGAGACAAATTCTCAAACATTATAACCCATAAATAATTACTTCAAAATTTCAACATATCATTTCATTCGAACTCTAATAGCCTATACTTTTAATTCCAATAATGTACACTCCTATTCCAATCTTCATTCTTGATCAAGGATTCACTTAACACTTATCAAATAATTTCAAAACCTCATTAAGTCGAAAGTTTTTTCTTAAACCGATAGGATCTCCAATGATCAAATTGTTCTCCTAAATAATCCTTTAACTCATAAAATATGTCTTATTATAAGTCGCATCGAAAATCTTTTCAACTTATAAAATTACACTATATCAAAGTAATTACACTTTCTCTTGACTACAAGATCCAAAAGCAATATGTAAATATCAACCAAAATAATTACTCCATGAATTCATTGAATCATTGATTCTTCAATATTCATTGAAAATTTAACTACTCCATATTCATCAAATCATTTACTTGTACTCATCACTATAGTCTATGGATCAAAGTTATGTTCTCAAAAATCATCACCTTATCCAGAGGTCATCATCTAAATTCTTAAAAATCTTCACATAATATTTGGATCATAACCATACTCATAAAGTTTTTTTCAACCCAAAAGTCATAAGCTACATTCTTGAAAAATCACCGTTAATCTAGTTATTATAATTTAACTTCTTAAAAATCTTCAAAGATCATAATCGTAGTTTTTAAAAAATTTTTAAAATCATACTATAAGCTTTTTAACATCTCACTTAGTTTAAGAATCATAATTGAAACTCTTAGAAAATCTCTAAGAAAAATAACCTAGGCTTTTTAAAGAAAATCTTATCATGATCTAATTATTAGAAAATTTTCAAAGATTACAACTTAAGCTCTGATACCACTTTATGTGACGCCTCAAGACCAAGATGCAACATGGCTATATTATCTTAAAGTAAACCCCAAAGTAATATGAAGCTTTCTTTTGTAATCATTCTAAAATTTTTAAATAAACTGATATAGTCTATCAAGTAAAATCTATATCTTTAATCTAACTAATGATACATTTTTATATATCCAAATACAAACCATATAAAAATAAAAAATCATTTTATAAGATCTCATTGGCTAACATTATCTCTGACGACTAAGTAATCTTTTTCATTTGATATTCTAGCTTTTCACAAAACTAAGCAAACGTATCACTTACTCATCTATAAAGAAAAAGTAAAAGGAGAATAAGTAAATCACAGCTTAGCAAGTATAGGCCCACACACCTTACTGAATCAAACATAATTTTATACATATTATATAGATAATTGAAAATATTCATCAAATCATAATGTTAAAGTATTTAAAAAATCATCGTTTTATCAAATATTTCGCATATTCATAAATCATTGTCAAAACATGTCAATTCATCAATTATAAATTACAAATCATGGATCAATGTTTAAAATCATCATCATCATAAATCATCATTATCATTAGCTACGGTCACTGTTATAACCTGTGACATTGACCGTATCGACAGTTTCATCCTCATGATCATTGTTAACTATTATAACCCACTAGCTAGGGCCTTATGCTAACTACTATTACCCGTTAGTAGGGTCATATGATCATGTCTTTGCTAACTACTATAACCTGTTAGCCAGGGTCATAGAGCTAGTTCTGGTGTCAATAATCCCATTTTTGAGGGATATAAAAACGTAGCTATCATAAAGTTATTTTTTAAACATAAATCATTTTCTCATTTTATTCATAAGCATGATTCATCATTTGTAAAGAAAAACACCAAATAATCATATGCTTGATCATACTTTCATACATCGAAAATAATGAAATAAAACATTCATTCATTTAGAAATATATATATATATATAGATAGATTTGAAGATAAACAAAGTGTGTGAGATTCTACTTATCTCTTTTCGATTTCACTACTTAGTTTTTCTCCCAAAATAATTAATGGCCTATTCAAGATGATTTCAACACATTAGAATTTAATCAACCCTTTTTGAGATCATTTATACAAAAATCAACTAAGTTACACAAGAGTTAACTCAAATAATTAATACTGATAGCCTGACCTCTTTTCATTAAAATAGTCATATCTCAATATATCAAATCAGAATTAAGATCTCTTTAATGCGTTAGAAACTAGACTTGATAAGCTTTCTAACCATAAATGGCTCACCTCATAATTCCTTATAGATTAATTATAACAATTTATGCAATCCACATTAGATGCTATTGCTAGATAGCCTATATACCTTCGAATGAAAATTATGTATTTATTCATTGGAAACTCATAATTCAATTCCCTTATTTCATTGAAAAGTAGACTCAATGATCTTTTCAAACATGTATGGTTCAATATATAATTCCTTGTATAAAAAATTAAGAAGAATTTCGTAATTCCTCACTGTTGCTGCTATTAGGCAACCTGTACATCATTAAGTTAATATTAAACTACTCTTTATAGAAAACTCGGAATAGACTCCTGTTTATTTCCTTGGAATGTAAATTCAGGAAGCTTTCCAATGATATATAATAATCATAGCAATAATCTATCCATTAATACAAAATTTTATTTTAATTCCTTATTATAGATCACAACATCTCATCCAAAAATAAAATTTCTCTTTCAATCTTTAAAAAAACTTAAATCCTGACTTTCAGACTTTAAACTTCATTGAATAATTATCAATAAATCTTAAGGACATGAAATAAACAAAGCCAGTAATTTACCCAAATAGATCATGAAGATTAATGAAAGATTTCATAATTTTTCTTGGTTTTGCTCTCAAAACTTCAACTCCAAATAATAGTAATCAACTTGATATTTCTTCTTAAATAAAAAGATGGCATATACTCACCTTTAGGGGATTAACTTGATTGTAGCCTCCGATTTTGAATCGTCAACTTAATTTTTTATGTTCTCTAACCCTAAGGAAGATAAGAAAGAAGAACTCTCATTTCCTTTCTGGTTCTCAATAGCTAGGTTTTCTTTTATTTAATAACTCAGCCCTTTTTCTTTTACTAATTAGTTTCTTAATAAACTGATGAGCTTTGATATTAGTTTAGCCCAATTATTATTTGTTCTGGGTATCACACTTACTTTATCTCTTTTTTTTTTTGTCTCAACAGATACTATTTTTGTTAGAGTTTACGAATCAAGAATGGATCTCTTAAGGGCTGCAATGATAGGAGCAAAGGGCGCTCCCTACCAAGATGGTCTCTTCTTCTTTGATGTTTTCTTCCCTGCTAGCTATCCTCAAGTGCCACCAGTATGTAATTAAGGGTAATGAATTTGAAATATTATCTTGCATCTTTTATGATAATATCTTCTGGTATACAAGTTTGGTTTGATGACTAAGAAATTGCTTGTTTCAGCATGTATACTATCATTCTGGTGGACTTCGTCTCAATCCCAATTTGTTAGTTGCGGCAAAGTATTTCTTAGTCTTCTTAACACTTGGTCTGCTTATAAGAATGAGAAGTGGATACCTGGTATGTCAACCATGCTCCAAGTTCTGGTATCTATTTAGGCTCTAATCTTGAATCAGAAGCCTTTCTTTCCTGGTTTGGCACATCATAATGGCACATCAAAAGGTGAATTATTGTCCCTGCGTTACAACAAGGATACATTTATCTTGTCAGTGAAGACAATGATCTATTCAATGAGGAGGCCTTCAAAGGTAAGTTGAAAGAATTATTTTTTGACCTCTCCTTTAACTTTAAGCTGGAGTGTGGTACTAATCACTTGCACTAGGATATTGATATTGATCTTGATAATAATATATGAAAATTTTGTTCCACAATGCAAGTTAAAATGTATAATTCCCATTGATTCTCTTTGGCTTAAATTCTAAAAAAAATCATGTTTGGCTGCAGCATTTTGAGGACTTTGTTGTGGGCCATTTCTAGAGGCGTGCTCATGATATTCTTGTGGCATGTAAAGCATATATGGATGGTGCTCAGGTAGGTTGCCTGGTAAAAGGTGGTGTTCAAGACGTCGATGAAAGTGAGAAGAGCTTCTCAAAGAAATTTAATGACTCTATGGTTGGATGTGTAAATATGCTCGTGAAAGAATTTACAATACTTGAAATCAATGATTGTGATAAATTTCTTATTCTCCTCAAATGTCAAAATAACCGAGTTGATAATACGTTCAAGTCAGCAATATGAACTCCTTTTTTAAATTAAAATTTTGAAACTTCGATCAAATGGTTTAATTTATAAATATGTAAAGTAGTTTTTTTTTCTTATCAAGATGCTTTGGTTCATAGGACGCTTATATATAGTTTCAGCGTTGTATATGGATGTATATAATTTCAACATTGTAAATTGGAAATTTTGCAACTTTCTCCAATGGCCTTTTTTTTTTTTTTTTAAATTTTGCTTTTTTAATGATCTTCTTGATTACTAAAAGGATGACAGAAAATGTCCGGCATTTGCTCCTCCGGAATGTCTTCTCTGACAGTTGTAATTTGACCTTTCCTTCCCTTCATATGTTTGGCGAATGAGGGACAACAGGGTTTATTTCTCTGAATGAAATTAGAGTAAATTGTGGTTTATATTCACCGAAAAGCATGGTTGACAGCTTCAGCTATCTAAAAATAAATGACTGGCTCTAGTTTAAGTCAAGTCAGCTGTAGGACCTGCCAAGAAACGTCTCCTAAACCCAAACTGGGGCGAAAACTTACTTTTTTTTTCTTTAACATTAAACATTTCAATTCAATTCGTATCAATTTTCGAATTATAAAATAACAATATTTAAAATATTCAAAGCGAAACCGAAGTCCAAAAAAAATCGATTTTCAAAGATATATTATGAATTAAGCATGTTACTATCACTTCATTGGTCCCAGTCAAGACTAAGAAGAGTTAGTAGAGATGTTTTTCAGTCAAGTCAAAGATGCAATTTTTCTACAAAGCTCGTACACCAGGAAATTTCCTTGAAGGTCCGCCAGCTTTGCCTAGTTCACCTTGGGTCAGTGAGAGATAGAGCTATATATTTTCACCTCTTTTCAAAGTTTCCTATAAGTTCTTCCTCCCAATCCTGTTGTCTGAAGAAATTCAAGCCTATAGTTATGGATCATTGTTCCATATTTTCTACTTCATCAAAGCTTTCCTTTTTTCATGTTTCATTGCTGTTTTTTCTCTCATCTTTCTTCTACCTGAATATTGTCTCTGGCACCGCTACTCAATTTAGTTATGGTCATCACTGTGATTCAGTTGTTCATGAATCAAAACCAGCTGATGAGGAGTTCAATATCTTCCCATTTCCTGGACGTCAAAATGGTTACTACTATGGTGGGGATAAAGTCTTGAATCCTAGCTCATATCGGTATTATTCATCTGAATCGAAAACTCTAGTTTTCGAAACTCATCATGTATATACAACTGATGATGAGGATGTCTTCAAGGTGGAGGGAAACCTGATCTTTCAAAGCTCCTATAACTACGAACAGAGTTTCTCCTATGGTTTGTCCCTCTATTCATATTCAAGTGATTCAAGTAATCGTGGAGTTCTGGACTTCGATTTTCATGGCTTCTGGTCTAGAATTACCGGGAAGCTATGCATGGTTGGATCAAGCTATACGTACTCTAAAGAAGGTAAGCTGCTTCATCTTGCAGCTGTTCTAAAGTTCAATAACATTAAGAGTTCAAGTACTATCAATACTTTAGTCACTGGAACCATGGATAGCTTGTATCCTGCTGCTGAACCAAATTACTTTGAGCAAATTTCCCTGATGATGTTTCCTCAAGTAAGTTACAATTACACCAAGGTTTCAAAACAATTTAGTGAAGGTTGTCCTGGGGGAACTGATATTCCAGTGGAATCAACCCTCAGCTTATCGCGGAGTCGAACTATTTGTAACATGTTCTTAGGTCGAGGCAATGTTTTTGAATTGGAGTATGCAAGTGGTTGCGATTCTTCAAAGAGTTGCAATCCATTTGGTAATGGTATTGGATATTTGCCTTGGGTCATGTCTTTGAGTATGATTCAGTGCTCGGAGGATAGTCTAAGCTTGAGGTTTCTGATAGAATTTCCTAACAATAGCCATATGAGGTACTATAGCTCTTTCAATTTCAGCACATCATTAGTTGGGGAAGGATCTTGGGATGCAAAGAAGAATCGGCTTTGTATTGTTGCTTGCCGAATCTATGATGCATCAAGCTCATTGGAGAAGTCTCATATTGGAGACTGCACAACAAGGTTGAGCTTGAGATTCCCAGCAATCTTGTCTATCAGAAACACAAGTACTGTTGTAGGTGAAATTTGGAGTGAAAAGCCAAGGAATGAATCTGGTTTCTTTGATAGGTTCATGTTCCGAAATACTTACCATGGTAGGGGGGGAATTCAACTTCAAGGTTTGAAGTATGAGTACATGGAAATGGACAAAGTGAAAAAGTCATGCCCAAGGAAGAATCCTACTAGGAAGAGCGGCCTGGGAAAATACCCAGATGGCTATTCTGGCGACCTGGGTTTTCATATCTCAATCAGAGATTCCAAAGGACAAATAGGACGGGGTTATTCAAATCCTCTTGCGGTGGGTGATCAGCCTTATCAGAGTTTTCCATTTCTAATACCATCCTCAAGCTCAAGGCCTATAAATCCTGGTGTTGAATCAGATACCAGTCGTAGCTTGCTTATTATCAGCTACAAAATGAGCATCAAACTACCTAGTTTGGAACCGAGTTCTAGCCTTAATCGTCCATTTAACCAATCTTCAAATGGATATCAGGAAATCCAAATTTCTGCTGAAGGGTTTTATGATGCTGAAACAGGTAATTTGTGCATGGTGGGCTGCAGAGAACTCAGGTCAGAAAACAAAGCAACAGTGAATCATTCAATGGACTGCGAGATCCTTGTGGATATTCGTTTTCCTCCATTGAACTTAGACAGGAAAGGAAGTAAAATCAAGGGAAGCATCAAGAGCATGCGTGAAACAACTGATCATCTTTACTTTGAACCTATGAACTTTTCAGGAAAAGCTTATTATCGAAGTTGGGCAGTGGAGTCAATTTGGAGAATGGATTTCGAGGTGATCATGTCTGTCATATCCAAGACTCTTGCAATTATCTTTGTAGTACTTCAAATCTTTCATGTGAGGAAGCACCCTGGCTTTTGTCCTTTCATTTCACTTCTCATGCTTGTTATTCTAGCCCTGGGACACTTGATCCCTTTGGTTCTAAATCTTGAAGCAATGTTCGCTCAAGATAGTGAAAGATCTGTTTGGATTAGAGATGGAACATGGCTAGAAATGAACGAGGTGATCATTAGGGTTGTCACAATGGTGGCTTTTCTGCTGCAAATTCGTCTTCTGATGCTTTCATGGATTGCTAGATGCTCTGATGAAAAGAAAAAGGCCTTGTGGCTTGCAGAGAAGAGGGGGCTCTACTTGTGTTTTCCAGTGTACATAGCTGGAGCCATAATCTCCTTCTTCGTGAAATGGAGGAAGAATCTAGTTGGAACCGGAATCCATTCTTCATACTACATAGAGCATATCATTTTGGGGGGTTCAAGAGCTTATGCTGGTTTGATCCTCGATGCCTTTCTTTTCCCCCAAATCCTCTTCAACATGTTCCAGAACACAAAAGAACAGGCTCTTTCTCGCTTCTTTTACATTGGAATCACCCTTGTTCGCCTGGTACCCCACGGATATGATCTCTACAGGGCACACAATTATGTTGATGTAGATGACTCATACATTTATGCAGATCCTGCTGCAGATTATTACTCAACTGCTTGGAACATCATTATTCTTGTGTTGGGCCTGTTCTTGGCTGCAATTATACACTTGCAACAATGCTTTGGTGGTCGTTGTTTCCTTCCAAAGAGATTCCAAGAATCAGTGATATATGAGGACCTTCCAGAGGCTTCAGAAGAGCAATTGCCATTAAAATCCAGCACCTAGTGCCTCCTTGTGTTACTACTTCTTACCATGGAGATGTTTCCATCTCAAGTTCTATTCTGAAATAATTCTGTAAATTGGTCTGTTGTTATGCAAGTTTTCTGAGACTATGTACTATAAACAGTTATGTATTCTAAGCCTTTCTCTATCTTTGGCAGATAAACCCTCTTTCCACAGACACATTCCATGATGGAATATTGTCAGACAGAGAAGAAATGCCTTTACATATATTTTGTTAACAACATCTTATTTGCATCAGATTAAAAGAAATCTAATGTGAGATGCCAAGGTTTTGCCACTTTTTTTTTTCTTTTTTTTATCTTTTTCCTTCTTTTGGATGAAACAAAGCTAATTATATAGAAACAGAGCTATGAGGGTAACAAAGCATAATAACCTTTAGTATGTCGGATTGAAACAGAGCTAATTATAGAAAAGAAGGTGAACTGCTGAGCCTAAAGTTAAGAGGCGTTCAGTGGCAGTAAGTTTCGAAATTGCACTATAAAATTGCTTTAGACTGCGATAGTATCCCAACATTCTAATACCATCAAGCATATTTAGAAAGAAAAGAGGAAAATAGATTGTTGTGAATTTGAATCTTTCATAAATCAGTTCATATTATCTGGCTTTAGAATTTAAAAGGGATTGAAAGTAGTGAAATTTAACTTCCATACTTAATGAATATCACATTTAAAAATAACTGTATAAATCAACTACATTAAGCCATATTGTCTAAATTTTCAAACAATATTGAAAATTGATTCTAGTCCGTTAGCCTTGGTGTGGGCCATCATTCATGTTTTTAATTTAGTTTTAATTTAGAGATAATAGCAATTTATTTATTTTACATTGGAATTTAGTAATTTTCTTAAAAAATACATTGATTAAGGTTAATATCAATTATTTTTTTAAACATGCCAATAAGAATGGAACAAGTTACCCTATAGAATACCATAAAATATTAAATGATAGGCCTTAATTGACTTTGCCTGTTAGCGCACAATGAAAGCAGCCTTGCCTAATCCTATAAATAGTAGTTTTTAAAGTGAAAGCTCTAAAACTAAAGCAAGTAAGGAGCAAATAAAATTAATTATAAAACTAAATTATTTATTTGAAAATTATAAATAAAATTTAGTTACAATTGTATAGGTCTCGTGCTATCTTCGTGGTACAACGATTTTAGTGGGATAATGTCCTCAAAATTATATGCACGCATAGAAATTAAAATTGAAATCAAATCATTCTAACAATCTATGATTTAATAATTATTATAAAATCAAGTGAACGAAATTAAAGAATAAACTAAATGAAATCATTTAACAAACCAATATAAAATTGGAGGAAACTTATATATTATACATTGGACTGAACTTGTATAACCTAAAGATTTTATAGGAGAATTTTTGTATTCTGTTTTGTCGTTCTTCCATGTTAATGAAAGGGGTGAGAATCATCTTATAATGGAAGGAAAGTCTTATTCTATTGACAGCAAGCCCAGCAATTAGTATAAACAATCTTCTGGTCTTGGGTGGTTCACATCAGTTTGATTATTATAGCATTGATTTTGGATGGGGAAGGGCAATCACAATTCGAAGTGGGGGTGGGAACAAGCATGATGGGAAGATAACAGTATATGGAGGAGCTGAAGAAGGGAGTACGGACTCTGAAGCTTACTTTTTACCTGAAACATTGCATGCCTTGGCAATTGATGAAGAGAGTTCATGAATTGTGTCACATTCTAATCTTAATCCAACTTCTACATTGTTCAATGGGTGAAATAATTGCCATCAATAAGAAGTTTTAATAAGATTTTCTAGTCTTTAGAAACTTGGTCTATCCATATTAAGCTCCCTGTAAGGAAGATATAAATAATAACTCAAAGTTTAACTAAGTTTATCCAATTAATTAGTTACTTTTAACAGGTGATGTCCAACAAATCTAAATTTTTAATTTCAACATTTATAACTAATTCTTTTATCGCTAATCAATAACATATTTTGTAAAAATAAAAAATAAAAAATTAAAGAATAAATTGCTTGAGCTTGAATAGAAATCCTAGACTTGGGTGGTTTGCATTTAAATGATATTTTAATATTTATTGTTGTGTTTATTAATTTATACCTTTCTTCTACTTTATCTCATGTTTTCTTTTTTACCAGGTAGCACAATTTATAATTCCTTTGCCTACTTGATTTTTGGAAAATGAAATTTCTTATATAATCCTTGGGAAAAAAAAAAAAAAACATTACATATGATCTTGTTTTTTAAAATTCCAAATCAAAAAGCAAGATTGGAATCTTCTTTCTTCAAATAAAAAAAAAATGGTGTAAAATGCCCTTTGAAGCAAAGATTAGATGATTATGCTCCAAATGACATCAAAAGATTCCACCTTCCCACATTTTTTTGCCATTTTATGTAATTTGTCCTAACTATTTTATTTCACTTAATAATTATTATCCTTTAACCTGAAGGAGAAACACAGAGATATTAAAGCAAATTAAATTTACAAGAAATTATAGAAAATCGTGCAATCCTCTTATTTTATCGAAAACCATGCAAATAAATGAAAAGATTCATTTAAGTTTTATAAGTTTACCAAAATGTTTCTTCCTTATTGTAAAGTTTTAAATTTTTTCCAGCCGCTTGGGGTGTGGTTTTTCTTCAGGGCTATCACTCTTATCACTTGGTCCTGCTGCCTCCTCGTAGACGTTACGTTTTCGTTTTACAAGGACACCATCATTCCCTGTTGACCCTTCATCACCACCAATGTCTTGATGGATATCGTCAAGATCTGCACAATTTGTTGGAATGCTGTGTTGCTCTTGCATTTCTTCCATCTCTTCCAAATCTTTCTCATACACTATTCGAACACCACACTTCTTCACTTTGACAGATGAGACACCTAAAGAGGATTGGATTGAGAACTCAATTTCATTGCATTCTTGATTTGCCCAATCTGTGCTCACTGAATTCTCAATTTTACCACATCTTTCTTCCAATGAAAACGGAAATATCTTGTCACGAGAATAATAACGTAGCCAAAGGTGCTCCTTAATGACCGGCCTAGATACTCCTCCTAAACGGAAGCCACTGCAATCGACTCGTAGAATATTCCTACCGTGGATAACTGCTTTACACATTATTTCATCCCTCTTATAAACATCATCATCAATGAAGCTACAGACGAAAATGCAGCAGAAAGCAACTCCCATCCACTGACTATCATTCAGAATATTAGGTGGCAGTGGTATCTTTATTGAAGATTCATCCCTCTGATGGGGGAACCATTCTGGGATTTCACTTCCAGGTACAAAAATGTCGAATAATGGTCTTGCAATTACCTGTGTGAACAAAATCTTTTGTTATTTGTCAACTAATACAATAAATTCTAGAGAGTTAGATTCAGAGAGAGAGCGATACCAAGTTACCCACCTTAAGGTGTTTTTGTAGCATTGTTAATGCATTGTTTTTCTCAGCCAATTTGTAGCAGTTAAAACAGGTAATTGCTCCCCAATATGTTGAATTGCGTACTGTTGTTGGATCTGCAACTACTTCCAGTGAAACACAACCATCTATGATCAATTGTTCTATACTTAGGAGCTCTGGCAACGATTTGAGCTCCCTGCAATCTGACAATGTAAGATGATGAAGCTTGGAAAGTCGATTAAGAGTTGCAGGTAGGTAGACGAAATTGTTACCACGAAGATCAAGAATTTTCAAAGAGGAGAAGCAGCCAATATCACTAGGAATAGCTTCTTCCCCAAGATAGCAGTCACTTAGATTCAGGTTTGTTATAGAACTCAAACCTGACAAAGAAGGTAACGTCAGAGCCATGGAATCCGAACTTCTTCTTTGAAAGACATTGAAAATAGAAGGCAAATTCCATCTTAATTTTGATGGTGGTCCCTTGCATCCATTGAAAGACAGAACTCTCAGACTTTTAAATTGAAAAATGAAGGATGGAGGTTTTCTTATGGCAGTTTTACTTAAATCAAGCTCCTCCAAAAATTCTACATGCTGCAAATTCTATGGTAAAGTTTCAACTTTAGAACAGCCAGAGAGATTAAGAGTTTTAAGACATTTCAACCCATTTATGCTGCTTGGGAGACTCACAAGGTTACTGCAGTCTTTCAGATTTAACAAAACAAGATTGCTGAGATATCCAATTGAAGAGGGCAGTTCTACTATTCTGGAACAACCTTCCAAAATCAAACATTCGAGATATGGAGCCCCTGTGAAGTCTGGCGTATTGATCAGGTTTTTGGAGCCTTTGAGGTTGACTAATTTCAATTTAGGTAAAGGCTGTTGGCAACAACAATAAATTAGAGAGAAAAAAAAAAAAAGAAAACTTTGGAAAACTATTTTTTTTTTTGGTTATTTTCATGTCTTATTCAAATTTTTGTTAGCACGTGATAAACATCATTTTCCTCCCACAATCTACAACGTTTTCCAGGTTCATCAAGTGATTTTTGTTGAACAATTTTTCTTCCCATCTCTTGTAGCAAATCATCCATCCACAAATATTTTTTGTTTTCATCAACTTTTATCAGAGATTTCTTAATGAGAACGTCGATTCCAATAAGTGGGAAAAAGCCACAACCATCTAGTACTTTTGTAACAAAATCTGTCTTCTCCCCTTTGAAAAAGCATGCTATATCTAGAAAAATATTCTTCTCCGATTCTGTTAATCCATCAAAGCTTATTCGAAGTCTGTCATGAATTTCTTTGTTACTCTTTCTTTTAAATCTTTGGATTGAATCTCTCCATTGAGTTGCATTTCTACCGCACAAAAAAGAACCAAAAACTTCAAGAGCTAAGGGAAGACCATCAGCGTATTCCACAACAGATTTAGAAAGCTCAGCCAAATCGTTTTCCGGCACTGTATCACTATTGAAAGCTTTCAAATTGAAAAGATGAAGTGCTTCATCGACATTCAGTGTTGTAGGCTTATACACATCATCCACTCTGTAAGATCGGAGCAAATGTTCATCTCTTGTCGTTATGATGATTCTGCTCCCTAAACCGAACCAATCACGCTTTCCAACCAAGCATTTTAAGTGTTGAAAGTTATCAACATTGTCAATAACAATAAGAACCTTCTTGTGAGATAGCCTACGACTGATCATGGCATTCCCTTCATGAACATTGAATAAATTGAAATCTTCTTCCAACAAAATTTGAGAAAGAAGTTGTTTCTGTAAAGAAAAAAGTCCATATTTTTCTGAAACTTCTCGAACATCAGCAAGAAAGCTTTTACCTTCAAAATGAAGTGACATTTGAGAATAAACAACTTTTGCAGGAGTAGTTTTACCAATGCCACCCATACCACAAATTCCAATAATGCGGACATCGTCTTCACCAATGTCTATTTGTGAATGCAACTCTTCCAAACGTGAATTAATTCCAATCAACTCATCATGAACAACCGAATATGTTTGACATAATTTTGCTGATATCTTTTTAACAATGTCTCTAATAAATTCTGATTCATGTCTTCAAACACAAAAAGAGAAACTGAATTTAGTTTTTACTTAAGAAATTAAATGCTAATGGAAATGATTATGACAATAAATGAGCTTAGAAATTAAAGAGTTAAAAAATATGAGCACAATAATCTTTTATCAAACAAATTTATGATACCTTTAAAGTAGACTTGATTATAGATTGAGCCATCTACTTTACTTGTGACTCATATCAAATCGAGCCCTGATCATAAATTTTTATGTTCAAGTTCGACTCAAATTATTATTTAATGAATAAAAATTTTTATTTAAATTTAATTTTAAAATATATAAAATATTAACATAAAGATAATTTTTTCAATATTTTTAAATTTTTTAAACAATAACCAGGCTTGCCTTGGGTAAGAGATTCTAAACAATAATTGGACTTAACTCGACTCATGGATAATTTTATTTAAAAACCTCTAGGCTATTGTTGTATTTGTAGCTTTAGTAACTGAAATCATTACCAAATGTATTTCAAGTTTATAAGAAATTAGTTATGATTTTATTGTTCATGAATGCTTTAGGCTAAAATATGAAAAAAAAAAAAACCTTGATATATTCAAAATAATTTAACTATGCACTTATACTATTACGTGGTTTAAAGAAACCCCTTAACTCTTATTTTTTATCATTAAAACCCTTTTTCCATGTTGGCATATTTTAAGATATATAGACAATGATATGATACAAAAATGTACACATGTTTAAAAATAAAAAAATTCAAAAAAGATAATCTAGCAAAAAATTAAATTAATTGATACCTTAATTAAAAATAATTATAAAAAATATATAAAATTAATTAAAACTAATAATTTTATAATTAAAACATTTTTTTATTAATTTTATAATAAAAATAATCATTCTAATTATATTTTAATAAATGTAATAAATAATAAACATAGTAAATATAATATATAATAATTATAATAAATAATAAGATTTACATTTTAATGAATAATTATTATTTATTAATAAATAATATTTATATTTTAATAAATATGATAAATATTATTAATAAATAATTATAAATAATTATATAAAGATTATTTATTAATAAAAAAATCTATATATAAAATTAATAAAAAAGAATATATGGAAATTAGTAAAAAAAGAAATTAAAATCATTTTTATTTTTTATGAATGTAGAACTTTTTATTAATTTTACATAGATACATTTTTTATAAATTTTTTTAGATCATGATCAAATAATTAATCATTTTTATTAAATTTCACATAAATTTAGATATTTTAGTTTTATTAATTTTATATATTTTATATAATTATTTTTAATTATGGTATCAATTAATAAAATTTTTTATTAGATTATTTTTCTTGAAATTTTTTATTTTTACACTAGTGTACCTTTTTTTGCCATATTAGTATACACCCATGTTCAAATATGCCAACATGTCATAGACTTTGATAATAGAAAATAAAAGTTGATGGACTTATTTAGATGACATAATAATATAAGGGTTTAATTAAAATATTTTTAAAATATAAGTAAATTATAACCCGCAATCTCATAAAAAGAACTTTTCTAATACATATATATATATATATATTTTATTATTTCGAACAATACATAAAACATGGTGGTCACTTTATTTTTAACACACAAGATTTGGTTCCTAATACAATTCGGGATTAAAACAGAGCAGGAATAAGAATGAAGTCCATGTTTTTTAAATGAAATTCAACAATAAAACACAATATTAAAAAAGTTTTTTGAAGTATATAACATGTAATCCAAAAAAAATATTTTTTTCGGTGATTAAAAATAAAAACTAGACAAGGAAAGAACGAGTTACCTATTATTTAAATGCCATCCTTTGATATTAGCCACTTCAGTTAGAGCAGTTCGCCACCTTTGGATCTTGTCTTTAGTTCCCTTGCATCTCTCTTCATGATTGGCAAAGGCTTCAGCAACTCTTCCTGTTTGTTTTCTCAAATCAGATGGATCCACATCATAAAAAATTGGGAAAATTCTATGCCTCCTTTTTTTTCTCTGTTGAACAATCTCGGCAAGCTCGTTCAAGCACCAGCCTGAAAAAACGTATGTTTCTGAGAAAACACTTAGTGAACACCATGATTCTTTAATTGCTTTAAACAGTTCTGGTGTAATTTCTTCGCCAGCCTCAAGCTTTGCATCATCCTTGAAAGTGATCATTCCATTCCTTTTTAAAGCAGCAAATAGATGATCAGTGAAATTTTTGCTGGTATCTTCACCTCTAAAACTCAAGAAAACATTATATTTCTGTCTAGGAGAATAAGAAGAAGAAGAAGGAGAAGAAGATGATGATGATGATGATGATGATGATGATGGCAACGACGATATAAGGAGGAGGTGGAAGAGGAAGATATCTTAATCTGGTGTTTGAGACAGTTCCTTTTGCTTCTATTTATCAGAAAAATAGCCCAATACCCGCAATAATAGATCAATTTCGAAGGGAGGAAACAAACATCTCTCAACAGTCAACGTTTTCTCTTTACATTTCCCAACCTTTTAGTTTTGAAATGAATCTCTATAATACATATGAAAGCGCGCAGTTTGGGTGAGGACGGAAATCCAAGAAGGTGAGGACGGAGTAGGCTGCCGTTTTGACTATTTTTTGAAGGAAGATAGCTATTTCCTACTGGCTACTGGGTAAAGCACTGAAGCTGACAGAGTGGTGGGTGGTGACCAATATGATTAATAAAAAAGAAAAGAAAGAGACAGAAAATAATAAAAGATGGGCGGTTGGGTTTTCTCCAAAGAAATGAATAATTTTAGTATATTGTCAATTTTTTAACATTGTTGTTTTGCCTTCTTTTGAGTTTGTTGAAACTGAAATACAACTTGCAGCAATACATAAGGGTTTCAAGAACATTATGTGGGACTTCAGCAACACATGCTTGCAGTCAAACTTGAATGTAGCAAATTACTTGACAAAAGAAAGTCCTGTAAAGCAAAACAGGAAAAAAAAAATTGCTAAATAACCATGGATGATAGGATAGAGATAGACCCACTCCAGCTTGTAGTAGGACCTGTGAATTCTTCAAATTTTGTTTGGCTACTCATTCTTGGAAGATGGGGTTTGCCCTTGTTGCTCGATGCTGGGATCATGGGTCACATTTTCGAATGTGATTAAGCCACTCATGACCCTTTATCACAAGTAGTGCTTACTTGGAAGAAAATGTCAACACGTAATGTGGGGATTAAGTCAATGTGAGATTTATACTTTAACGTATATAACCCTTGTATCTTTTTCTCTTTAGTATGTTTTTTTTTTTAGTTTTCTCATGAAAAAATCTATGCAAAACAAAGAAACATAGTCGATTCTTTGTTTCGAATAATCTGAAAATGTCAAAATTATAAAATTTTGGATAAAGAATTTAAAGCAACTATTGTAAGCTTTCTTCTTCTTTCGGAGTTTTTTCCTAAACAAGAGTACTTTAAAATCTTTATTCTCAAATTAAAATACTTTTAATCTTTATTCCTTAAAAAAGGCATTCTCTAGCATGAGTGACATGTCATGATTTATGTGGCAAAAACTTGCCACGTTGTATCTCTTCCTTTTTCTTTTCCTACTCTCATCACTGGTTCATAAAAAATGGCCGGCCATCAACCGCCATTGAATGGATTCGGATTTAAACTGATTTACAACAAATAAAAGGAACAATTAAAAATCACAGCCATTATAAAAGCTTCCACCATACCACTTGCAGTTTTGCACATTCATTTTCCAGTCCTATTATTTTCTAATTTTTGTACTTTGATTGAGTATTAGTTTACCTGTTTACATTTTGCTAAGAAACTTTGTTATTTTCGATTCTGCCGGCGAGCAAGTATGGAGGCCAAAATCTACATCTCTAGTAAAAAATAGTTTTGATGGTGCGTTGAACAAAAAACATAGAGCTGGAGGTTTGGGAGTTGTTATAAGAGACTCGGAGGGCATTGGCCTTGGGGCACTACCTGCTAAAATACAGGGAGTTTTGGATCCCTGGATCGTGGAAAGCTGCGTAGCGGTCAAAGCTCTAGTTTTTGCTAAGAACATGGGTTCACAAAAGTTGTACTAGAAGGAAATGCATTAGGAGTGATAAGTCGGTTGAGAAATGATGAAATTGATCTATCCCCAATTGGCATCATCATTGATAAGGCTTGTATGCATGTAAAAGAGTTTCAATAGTGTAATTTATCTCATATTAGACGAACAGAAAATAGAGCAGTGCATGAGTTGCCAAAACATGGAGTGAACTTGGTAGCAGATTCTTATTGGATAGAAAAATGTCCTAAATTTTTTACCAATTATTTTTGCAGATTGTAAACAAGTGGTTCATCAATGAATTTAATCAATCTATAATTCTAAAAAAAACTCTTTTATTTTTCCATGTATGTGAAACCAATTCGAAACTTCAAATTTGAATTAAATATATTTACATAAATTTTAGGGGTTGTTTATCGGTGAATTCATTTGGGTAATAATCTAGATATATATTAAAGACAAAAAAATATTAGAGTAAAACAACATATTCAAAGAAAAAACACAAGATCTGGACTGTTGGTTAAATTCAAAAACAGATTCATGATAAAGTTGTAAAACAAAAAGAGGATTATTAGTTACATTCGGGAAGCAAGTATAAAAACAAGTCTCCACTTATCTCATCTAATTAAAGAAAAATCCAAGTCTCTCTCTCCGTCTTTTCAAGTACATAAATCTGACCTACAAAAGCAATCTAATAGGGATTGCAAATATGGTTGGGCATGGGAATTCGTCAACAAAAGAGAAAACATATTGAAAGAGAAAGAAAACAAATGTTAAGGAAAAAGTCAAGAGCTTATGTGGTTATTATTGTTAGAGACTATCACAGCTCTGATATTATTTATTAAGTAAAAGATTCCTATCAATCACATCAATGAAAGTAAAATCAAATAATTAAATAATCACATAAGAGATAATAATTTAATGTGATTCGGTCCAATTGACCTACGCTCATGAATGAGAAACAAAATTCACTAGTTGTAAAGAATTACAAACATACATCAAATCAATCTCACTTAATAATCAATACCCATAGGCCCTTTCCATCTCTTCTAGTCCTATGGAATATTCTCAACCCAAACAAACATGTACCTATGCACCTATACCTATGTGAACTCTCTCAGTCTCCTCTAGTTTACTCACATATATACAAACATATACACCCATAAGATGTAAGCCTCCAGTAGTCTTATAGGGTGTCTATCCTATAAAACCTTACAACTCTCTTACATATTTTTTCATACCTAACCCTATAGAGACTTTACCTATTTATAAGCATACATACTTACTTATTAAGAATTATTTTTTTTTTAATTTTTTTTGCAAGTTAAACTTGCCTATTAAGAATCTCTTTTCTTTTAGAATTCTTCTTCTACAATTTTTCTTGTCCATTAAGCAATATCTGACCAATCCCAAGTAAATCTCTTATAGGATTTGAGTTATTATTTTCAATAATCTCCACCTTGACTCAATTTCTATTAAATTATCTGTCTTCATGCTAGACATGCAACGAGAGTCTCACAATCATCTTCTTTTGTGTGTCTTCACATTTCACACAAACCGATCCTCAATTCTCAAAATTTGAACTTTAACTCTTCTTTTGAATTGAGTTCTTCTAGACTTACCTCTTCCCACGTCTCGAACCTTCAACTCTTTCCATATCTAGAGCTTTTAGCTTTGATACCACTTGTAAGGAAATCAACACAACTCTGATACCACTTGTTAGGGATCACTACAGCTTTGATACCACTTGTTGGTCGAAAAAACCTCATATCTAATCACATTAGTGAAAATGAAATCAAATAATTAAATAATCACATAAGAGACAACAATTTAATGTGGTTTAATCCAATTGACCTACATCCACGGATGAGAAATAAGATCTACTAGTTATAAAAATTATAAACATACATCAAATCAATCTCACTTAACAATCAATACTCATAGACCCTTTCAATGTCCTCTAGTCCTATGGAATATTTTCAACTCAAACAAACACATACCCATGCACCCATACCTATGTGAACTCTCTCAGTCTCATTTAGTCCACTTACAAACATACAAACATACACATTCATAAGACGTAAACCTCCAGTTGTAGGAAAACCCTTTTTTTTTTCTTTTTATTGCAGAGTTTTGGAAAACAAGTGGATAAGGGATAATTCATAGTCGTTGCTTATTTGAATTTTTTCATATTTTATACATTGATAATTTTTGTCGTTATGAATTTCTATTAAATCAGTAACGACAAAAAAAGTCATTGTGATATACTATTATTTTTGTAACAATTTTTCGTTCTAGTTAATTAATCTTTTAAATATTTTACACAATAGCAAAAAAAGTTGTTATAATATATATACCATTTTCATAACGATAAAAAAATCGTTACTAAATCTTATTAAATTTGTAATGACATTTCCTTGTCGTTGCATATTTAAATCTAATATATATATATATATATATATTATATTACAACATACAATGTTACATGATCAAAACTGCTTATATGGATGCCTAGGTGGATAATCTCTTTTAATGACACATAGGATAATATTTATATTATTTTATTTATCAAATAAAATTTTTTAATAAATTATTTAAATTAAAATCAATATCTATTTAAGATTGAAATTTTTACATAAGATTTGAATTCAAACATAGTAAATCATAATTTATAGTTTTTTAAAATTTAATGGTAGTTTCAAATATATATACTCAATAACATTTTATTTTTTAATTAAATAATTTTATTTAATAAATTATTTAAATTTAATATTTTTAAATAATTATTTAAATTCAAATCAAAATCTATCAAAATTAAAAATTATTTAATAGATTATTTAAATTTAATACTTTTCGATAAGTTAATGAATTATTGACTAGAAAGCATATATTTTAAGAGTAATAAAAACTTACATCTTTACATGAAAATATGAGATATTTGAATGTTAATAAAAAAGTTAGATAAAAATATGTTTTTGTTTGGAAAAAGAATATAATATTTTATTTATGTTCTAATTCAAATATTTTTATATTATATATTTGGCTAATTTATTTGTTTCTCTTTAGTCCATAACTTTTTTTAATTTTGCTTAGATTGATTATAATTAACTTTTTGTATTATATATATATATTTGTTTTATTCATTTCTTCAATGTTTTTATTTTTTGTTCATTTATTAACATATTTACTTTTATTATTGTATATATTTAATCTTGACAAATTAGTATATAAATTTATTTCTCTATTTCCTTTTGCTATATTTTTT